TCTTATGTCCGTATAGGTTGAGGTTCATTCTGATAAGTCGCTGGTTGACGGCCTCCCAGGTGCCCACAAACTTACGTAGGCTTTTCCGCATGAGTATTGCTACTCCTTGCTGAGCACGCTGATCTTTGGCCACGCCGCTGTAGAATAGATCATAGTCACCGTAATTCTCTGACCCGTGCCCTTTCTTCTTGGTTTCAGTAAGAACAGCGACATCCACTTCAAGCTTCTGGATCTCCGATATCACTTCCGGTAGCTTATTCGAAATGCCTTGGACATTCCACGTCCCAAATATCAATGTCCGTTTTCTTAATTTTTGTCGACGTGTCCGTTTGTTTCCAGTGGTACCGAGGCTTGTTACGTTAGGTCTTTTGACAGTGAAACCTTTTACAAGTACCGGGGAGTCAGCCCGATGACTCAACCCCCAACCTGGAGGACCAGGGTTTGATTTTGGAGTTGCCTCTCCTAGACAGGTTGCTTTCACTTCAGCTCAGAGCCCTGTCTGCCCTTCTAGCAAGTGGTTCATACGCCCAGAGGCCGGTGACCATCTCCACTATCCCCTTTAAGGCAGGGGCTACCAGCTGGGGTCCGCAGGATTGCTATACCTGTGACAACAGTCCCCCATACGGTAAACAGTACATATTTCTGCTGTTTTTTATTTTTCTTTGTTTTTCCTACCGTTTTTTTTTTTTATTTCTAGTTTTTTTTACTGAAAATCGTTTTTTTCGCAGTGAATACTTGAAGTTTAGAGCCAAAAGAATACGAAGAACGAAAAGTAAAAGTAGGAATTTTATGATCATTTTGTCTTAGTTGACCGGCAAAAATCTACACTACCAAAAATCTATGGCACGAATGCGGACAAAACAAACAACGACGGTTGAACCATTTCGATTGTAGCCGCCATTTTGTTGCGTGACGGCAAGAGGGCACGAGATACGACTCCCTAAAACTCCCTATGCATATTCGTTTTGTTGTGGAAAGCAGTTGGGCAGAAAAAATTACTAGAATCAAAAAATTACTGAGAATCAAGCTTAGATTTTAATTTTTCCCGGTTTCATTGAAATTTCATGAAATTTCAAGTGAAATTTCAAAATATTATTTTTCATGAAATTTTCCATCTCAGCTCGTGTCGTGTGACGTGCCGCATAAAATTCGATCATGAGATAAATGGAATGACTGATCTTACGAGCAATTAACCTATGCTTTCAAACCTGCAAAAACAGAAAAGGTAAAGCGACTAGACCAGCGTTGAGGCTACTTCAATATTCAATTCAACAGATCTTCCATCGCATCAATAAGGCGCAGAGATACAACTATTCAAACTCTTCGGAATGCGTGAGGTATCACGCCGCAATTGAAGGCGTTTCCAAAACTCTCAACTTTTCATAGCGGGATACTCGTGTGACGTGTCACATAAAATTCGAGATTGAGATAAATGGAATAACTGATCGTACGAGCAATTAAACTAAGCTTTCAAAACTTCAATGACGGAAAAGGTCAACCGACTACACCAGCGTTGAGGCTACTTCAATATTCAATTCAACAGATCTTCCATCGCATTAGTAAGGCGCAGAGATACAACTATTCAATCTCTTCGGAATGCGCACGGTATCACGCCGCAATTGAAGGCGTTTCCGAAACGGGCAACTTTCCATATCGGGATACTCGTGTGACGTGTCGCATAAATTTCGAGCATGAGATAAATGGAATGACTGTCCTTACGACCATTTAAACTATGCTTTCAAAACTGCAATAACGGGAAGAGTAAAGCGACTAGACCATCGGTGAGGCTACTTCAATATTCAATTCCACAGATCTTCCATCGCATCAGTAAGGCGCAGAGATACAAATATTCAAACTCTTCGGAATGCGTAAGGTATAACGCCGCAATTGAAGGCGTTTTCGAAACTGCCAATTTTCCGTGTCAGGATTCTCGTGTCTCGTAAAATTTGAGCATGAGATAAATTGAATGACTGATCCTTCGAGCTGGTGCAACAGTTATGGGCACATCCCCTCGTTTAAGTTTTTGTTTATAGGTTTTGTTCCAGTTGCGATTATAAGTGTCTCATTTGCTTAGATGTGTTTTCGTTCCAAACTCCACTACTTCCACTACTCTCGTTAACTACTCAATTGCACGAGTTAGGCTCAGGGTAGGGACAGTTGTAATTTTTTATGTTCTCTATCCAGAATAAATCTATCAATCCATCCATCTATTATCTATTATCTATTATTATTACTCTATATAAAGCTGCTGTTCCCACTCACTATGCCCCCCCTAGATAAAAATTGGCCGAAGCGATTTCCTTTAAAATTGGTACACGCTTAGCTATCGTAATGAGGAGTTGATTAAAATTATTCCCATTCAAATCCGCTGCCTCGGATGCCCACATGAGCGAAAAGTTATTTCTCCATATAGTATTACATTGGAGATACGCGGTTGTTTACGCGCATCGCGCCGAACAGGTTCAATCCTGTTGCGTGACGTCACTGCCTTATAGACGAAATTTAAGGTTTTAGGAGGTATTTTTCGACGAATGTTTGTGGAATTTGGTAAGCGGGGGTATTTTTCTCGAGGGATCTCGAATTTTTGGTCGGATTTTCAAAATCTCAAAATCCAAGATGGCGGCCGTGGCCTAAAATGCTAAGTCGGCTCCTGTTTGATCGATTTTTGTGAAACTCGGAGAGCCAGGGTATTTTTCGACGAGAAACTCGAATTTTTGGTCAGATTTTCAAAATTTCCAAATCCAAGATGGCGGCCGTGGCCTAAAATGCTAAGTCGGCTCCTGTTATATCGATTTTCGTGAAACTCGGTACCCAGGGGTATTTTTCGACTAGAAACTCGAATTTTTGGTCGGATTTTCAAAATCTCAAAATCCAAGATGGCGACCGTGGCCTAAAATGCTAAGTCGGCTCCTGTTATATCGATTTTCGTGAAACTCGGTATTCAGGGGTATTTTTCGACGAGAAACTCGAATTTTTGGTCATATTTTCAAAATTCAAAAATCCAAGATGACGAACGTGGTCTAAATTGCTATCTCGGCTTCCGATCCATCGATTTTTGTGAAATTCGGTATTAGGAGGTGTATTTCGACGGAAAACTCGCATTTTTGGTCAGATTTTCATCATTTCCAAATCCAAGATGGCAGCCCCGCACGAAAACGCGGTCCGGACTCCTAGAACATCAATTTCTGTAAAACTTGGTGAAAAAGAAGATTAAGACATAGATGTTGTCTCCTCATCAATCTTAAAAACTGTGCGGGGCGGTGGCGGCTCGCGGAGCGAGTCGCAAGTTCGTCGCGAAGCGTAGATTTGGGGTCCAGGGGCACTCCCCGGCTAGACGTGTCAGCTCGCAAAGCGAGCTAATCACGACTAGTTCATCTATATATCTATCCACCTACCTACCTATCTATCTTTCGATCCGTCTATTTTATTTTTGTTACACATTTTTTACTGTATTTTCTCATATTTCATCATTGACTTGAATTCCTTTTATTAGGCTAAATTTCTTACCATTTCCTTATTTTTAACTCTTCTATAAGAATTATCCATTTGCTATACACAATCCTAGCTTGAGCACACTTAAACTATGAACCGCAAAAGTGGCAATGGAAGACCTAAAAGGCCAGCGCAGAAGCTACTTCAATATTAATCTCCAGTCGCATAGCTATGGAGTACAGAATTTTAAGTTAGGGAGCACCCCTATCCTCCTCATTAAAATCTTGCCAACCTTTGTAGACCACCCCTAATGCCTAGCCAAAATAAAAATATATTTACTTTTAAAGATTCTTACGTTTCCTGTGCTTCTATGTCCCCATCTGATTGCCGCTCTTCATAAGCTTACGGTTGATTTGAGCTTGAGAGTGACACAAAATGATGAAATCCTGTGGAGAGTTGAGCAGAATATTGAATACGTTCATTTAAACTGCAGTACGCAAAAAAGAACTGCACTGCAAGCTCAAGGTTTCTCAATATAAAAAGTTCCATTTTGTTCAATACGATCAAGTGTTCGGAATAAAAAGTCAATGACAGAGAGAATTAAAACAAAATTCGATTTATTTATAGATTTTCTAATTTTTTACACACATTTTTTAGAAAAGTTTGAAAAGAATCAAATTAACAATTAACTGTTGCCTCAGAGCAACTTGGATAACCTTCTTCTTACAAAAAGGCCCTGGAGGTCTAAGTTTTTCCTGGAGCCAGAGATTTTCAGATGGGAAGGGGTTGGAGTACACTTAGAGAACACACACACAATTCACAGAGAGGAGCTCTAGGATAAAATCAATTATTTGTATTTTGCAGATGCTCCTGTGTAATGTATTGAGAGTTCGTATGAACTCTTCGACATATTAGCTCAAGTAAGATCAAATCTCTGGGGTGGCTTTTTAATCCGTGTACTTCAATTTAAAAATAAAAAAATAAAAAAAAAAAAGGCTGTAGAGGGGCCTGAATCCACATTGATTGAGAAATCTTTCAGACTTCTAATTTTGAGGTACAAAACTATAAATTTTCATGCATTGCCATTCCATTGTAATCACACTTTTGATACTTGGTGATGCATGTTGGCCAAAAGCTTCAATTGCCTCTCAGAGTTAAATAATTTAAAGACAATGATTAATCCTCACATTCTTGTAAAATCTTACTTTTACAAAATAATTTTTTCCTTTAATTCAAAGAGAATCATTCTGAAATTTTACCCGAGTAAATTTTATCATTGTTAAGTTGGTTAAGTGGCTACTCTGCAATCCTTGCAACATAGAATCTAGCATCACTTGAGAGGACTCAACATCAATATTTCTTTTCACTGGTTGGAAATGATTCTGGCTTTGACTAAAATAAAGCAGTTTCGAATCAATCTGAGAACAAAAAGGTTAAGACCTAAAAATCAATTTATGACAATTAGAAATTATAACTGGTTAGTTGGATACGGCCGAAAAGAGGGATAACTTTGAATGCGTTGAATTTTTTTTTAAAATAAACAAAAAAAAAAAAATGAAAGAGATTTACATTTGATGGCACGCAAGTAAAAATTTACAAAATAAATTATCACTGTCTAAAATCACTACAATCTCTGATATAATGTCTTTAAATGATGACAACCAACCCAAAATATGATAACATATATCTGAGCATCACACATGACAAAATATATATAATATAGTGCTGCTCTCATTGGCAAAAAAAAAAAAAAAATAATCAATCAATCAATCAATGAAATAAAATAAAAATCTCTCTCAGGCCAAATCTCTGGATACCAAAAATTATGTTACGATAATCATTACCTTTCTATTAAAATTACTGGACCAAGTTCATAACAGATGCACCAGGTTGCAATTCGGATAAAACACAAGTTAGGAATGGTTTTGAATTCAACATCTTGCATTGTCTCCTGTCAAAAGTTCAAAGTCTAGAAAAATATTTTGAACGTTGAAACGGTCATTAAACTTTGTCTTTGACACTAAGTTTTATGAAGCAATAAAACCTCAAAGCTGTTTGTCTCGACTAAAATTTGATACAAATTGGTGCATTTCTGTTTTAATCAGTCAAACGGTACTGGAATAAGATGATCTCTAAATTCATCCTCCAAAAACACCTAGGACGGAAAATTTTGGGTGAGTATAAAAACCACGAAAAAGTGAAAACTGGACCAAAGTACCAAAAAAAAAAAAAAAAAATTAATCAAATAAAACTGTTACCTCTTGAGAAATTATGTTATGAAAACTGTGTTGCACTCTTTATAAACTGAAATTAAAGTTAAAACCAAAAATAAACTAAGATTATGATCTGTTTAACAGACATAAATTTCTATAAGATGATACTAAATTTTTAGCATTTAGAAAAACACTGGAATAGGAGGTGAATGGAAAAATCAGAGATATGAGAAAGAATCAATGAATGGCATTCAATGAATTGATACACTTGGTGGCAAAACTGACTTTTGCGGCAAATGAGAACGATCATAAAACTTTCTTGTGTATACGCATTTAAAAAAAAAAAATAAATAAAAAAAAAAATAAAATAAAAAGATCTCATAATTCCTACAGGCACTATGACAACATGCATCTGCAGAATCGTTTGATTACATGGGCTCATAGTTATTAAATTCTTTCTACAAAATGTATTTCCTTTCTTGTACACGTTCACTTTCATCCACTTAAATTAGAAGTTGATAAAGACTAAAACTGTACAGGTGCTAACTTCTGTTAGGGAGGACATGTTCAAAAAATAAAGGACTTTAAGGAAATGAACTTTACAAAAGTATGTTTTTCACTTATGATCACTAATCCATTTGTTTGCAAACAGTAAAGATATTTTTTCCTTTTTTTAAAAAAAATATTCTGCGTATTGTATTCACCTTAGAGGTCCTTTACATGAAGAGCACAAAGAAGTGCTCAGTATTTTCAGATGTCAGGGAACTCACAATGAAAAAGGAAAAGAACAAAACTAACAAAGGAATAGACAAGGAACTTAGTTTCAAACAAGGAATATGTTCAATTCCTATCCACAGTTTTTACTGATGAAAGTCAAAACCTTGTATCTTGGTTACAAATTTCCCAGCATACTTCAAATTCTTTCTTTTTCTTTCATTTTTTTTCTGTACTTTGAATTGGTTCCATTTTTATCTGCCTCGTCGAAAATATTTTGTGAAAATATATAGGACAGAAAAAAATGGTTCACTCCCCTTCCAGAAAATGAAGTACACAAGTACATTTTAAGACACTACAATCAATGTACATGTCAACGGTGTAAGTCCGCAACCACATATCTTGGTTTGTGACATCGCAGACTTCCTATCACAATTTATTTTTTAAATGGAAAAGTACTCAACCGCTATCTTTAAAAACTGCCGTGATTTTTCTTCTCCTTAGGAAGAATAATTTGCAGAACCTTCAAGGAACAACGTTGTTTTCTTCTCCTTTAAAAAAATAAAATAGGAGCGGAGATTTTCAAACACCAAAACAAGATAAGTGGTTGCGGACTTACACCATCGATGTATTTTAACTTTCATCAGCAACGTCGGTTAAAAAGTTTGAGAAAAATACAGGGGAAAGTAGAGATCTTAAAATTAACAGGAAAAATATTAAAGACGTTTTACATCATTCGGTTTTCATTAATCTTACTTAACCAACTGAGTCAAAACTATCCTTGGCCAACACCTTCTCATATTTTTTGCAGGAAAAATTTGACCGAAGTTGCTTCCGAGGAGAAAACTGAGCAAACCATGAGAGACAGAAGAGCTATCAAACAAATCACAGCTATGATCCTTTTGATATCGATTACAGGATTAAGATTTTTTTTCAGTGGGCGAAATGAAAGCGAATGGTGCAAAACTAGTTGAAGCTGTTGTTGAGGTTGTAGTGATACTTGGAGTAGTGGTCAACATGGTTGGACTAGAAGTTGTTGTTGTGATCATTTCACCATGCTCTAACTGTTTGAGTAGCCTAAAAAGAGCAGCAGCCTCCCGTATCCGACTAAACTCGATACAGAACGCTTGAACCTCTACATACAAATCCTGAAATTAGAAGTTTGACTGGTTACAATTTAATTTACGGTTGAAAACAAGTTTCAAGAGGTAACGTGGAAAAATTTCATAAAACTTAAAATATGTTGAAATTTAGTGCAGAATATTTCTAGAAATTTCTGATATACATGAAACACATTAAAAAGTATATTTCAATGTGCCAATTATCGGTTCATCCTACACATTCAAAATGGCGCCAATATTGTCCATTTTACTAATTTTCATCACTTGCATGTTATTCATCCAGAGTTAAGTGCAAAAGGAGCAGGATTTTTTTCATTTCTACATGTTTTTAGTGTGAGCAGTATATTCTGCCCCTTGAATGAATGTTTCATATTTTTTTTAAATTTCACTGCCTCATGAAATTTTATGGTATAATTCACATGAATTTCCAATGTTTTTATAGGTTTCTTTCATTTTATACCACCCTGTATAGAACTAAAAAACAAAGATTAAGACTACGGACTGTAGTTCAGACTGGGTTTAAATGGGGATTGAATTGAGGATTTTCACGTATACTGAAATTTAGCGACTTAACCGAGGAACTTAAAGAAAGATTGAGAAAGTGAGAAACTTGCTGCAGTTCAATACATGCCGCTAGCAATAGACAGTTTGGTAACTTGTTTGATACACATTGTGTGAAAATCCCTTTTGAGTAAAATAGGCTTTAAAACTGGAATAATCTACATGCCAAATTTGGGGAAAAAATTGGGGCCGAAGGAAAATTGTTCAGCAGATTTAAAGGCATTATCTGAGAGAAATATTGAAACCTGCTGAACATAGACGAGAGAATCCAGAATTTTTTTTGCTTTGATGTAGAAATATTACCTACATCATTTCCTTTGTATTTCACACAGTCCTTTAACGTTTTAATTTGAATAAAGTAAATTAAGATTACTACAGTCCTTTAATGCATTTAATTTGAATAAAATAAATTAAGATTACTCACCTGAACGTTGATTATTTTATTCCGAATTAATGATTGCAAGAAAACACACAGCAATCGCACCAACCTATTCTGCATATATCGATCTTTGATTGTTTCACAGGTTGAGATACAGTTACAAATGTAAAAATGTACAAATTCTGTTGGAAGATCCACGGTTGTTGTTAACCTGAAAAAAAAAGGCATTGAAAAAGCGGAGCTCAGTATAAAAGCGCCAAAAAGTAATACAAAAAATCATGACCTTGCACAGGAGTTTGCAACTCTCCTCGTATTCCTAGTCTTTCAACACCTTGAAGGGGAGCCATGCTTGAGGGTGGTTCTTGCATGTTTGACAAGTTGCTTTGAAAAATCAGGGTTCAAAATTTTTATACAGAGCACACTCAAGTATCCGAAAGAATAATTTACAGGTTGTTTTACATGGTTCTGTGTAATTGAAAAGTGATAAGTTGGCTTTGAATCTGAAAATATTAGCACCAATCATGGCAAATAAAAGATTCAATTCATTTTTTTCTAAAAACTATATTAAATTTTTTAACTTCTATTGTCAAAACTCCTTTTATCTTACATTTTTCGGCAATTTGCTGAACAAATATTGGCAAAGCACTCCTCAATACCATCCTCTAATGCAGATATGTAAATTTTTAATTTTTTACCAATTAGTTCCATTTTCTTGAACTGAGTCGCAGAAAGAATCATGCATACGCACTGCATCTTTTTATGAAAAAATACTTTGTTGTAAAAATAAAATGCTATGAATAGAGAAACAAGTTTGATACAAACCTATTCACAACTTCCATTGAATGCAGAGACATTTCCATATTAACAAGAACACTGAAATATTCTGTAATGTGTGTTGACTGCATCAGCTTCAACAGAACTTCAATTGCTATTAGGGGATTGTTCTCCACAAGACCGGGTAACTGTGAAACAAACGATCGTCCATTAAAAATAAGGATGCAATGATTTGGCTACAACAAATACATATAATTGAGCACAAAGCCGATTACAGAATAAGATCATCTTACTTGTACAACACTATTGACAGACGACTAAAAATATTTGATACTGAACACTCTTCATATCATTAAAATTGTTTCCATTTTCCTTGAAATGCGATCACACTCTAACGGAGGTTGTTTCTCTGACAATAAGAGAAAAAGAAAATGTAGAAAACTGCGCAGATAACATTGACAAAGTTATAGTGTGTAATAGTTCAGTGATACACTCATTTGCAGTGGTTGATTGACATGGGAACAAATAGAACCAACATGGAGGAAATCATAGTATCACAACTGCATCGGATAATTTCATACCCTGTGTTTTTCGATGAACAATTTTTACATTAATATTAGACGTGGAAACATGATGTTGGGATGGATTTCATTATTTATTACTAATCTGTGAGCATAAACCATCAAAATCCAAAATGAAGCAGTGCGACTGGCCCATAAAACTATAAAACTATGCCTAAAACTATGCATAAAACTATGCTTACACACATATCCTATAAAGAGTAAAAACTGAGAGAATACTTTAAACAGGCAATGAAAAGGAATTCCAGAGGAGTCTACTTCGAAGACTTTACTTCTCTCAGAGGGTCGAGACTAAGAAAGGAAAATTTTAATTAAAAATAAAAGAAAGCTCGAGAGAGATCTTTCAGAATTCTCGTTTTCAATTGAGCCCCAATTCCTGACTATTTGGCAAGCGCATCTGATTCAATCGTCATTATCTGTGAACTGAGTTACTTACCAAAAACTGGAGAACTAAGTGCTTGGATAATTAAAAGACACGCCTGAACACACATTTTTTACTTGTAACAACGTAAGACAAAAGAAAGAAGAACTGGAAAAAACACTAAACATATCAACTATAACTCCAGACAATCTAATACCAACCATGCTAGATTCAAGAAAAAAATGGACCCTAATACATGCATACGTCAAGAACATTCTACAGGGAAAACAACATGTACTTAATCAAGAAAAGGATGACGATAGTTGCCAACCCTCCTCCTCACCCGAAGACATGCCACTCCAAGGCAATTCCGGGACAAACAAAAACAACTAAAGTGAAAAGAAGACAGAGGATCTTCGATAAACCAATTAGAACTTAAGTAAATAGACAATAAGCTTCCATGGGACAGGGGGGAATAATCAAAAAATTGTAAATAGGATCTTTAAAAACTAATAATATGTAAACTTAGGCCTTCAGGTGATACCCTGTCACGTATCATTCTACCCTGTCATTTAATAAATAAAATAATTGTTTGAACTTTTTAAAAAGTGCTTGGATAAGGAAAAAAAGTTACCTTGTTGGGAGTGAATCCAATATGATATACAAGTTTAGGGTCATTTGTAAGCTCCGCCAGCAAATGCTGCTGCTGCTGAAGAGTTAGAGCACTCTTATATGCTCTAGTCATCAGGGTTCTTGCTTCCAGTCCAGCTGAATTAGATACACACATTGTAACATCGTAGGCTATCTTGTACTGAGGCGGCTCGTCTGGATTCAACCAAGTGAGCTGAAATATGCAAAAAAAAATTAATTTATAAAAATTGATCTGATTTCCATTAAATTCTCTTGGCTCAATGAGTCAGAGATCAAATCTTCAGTGACTTGGCAACAGTACTAATTTCCAAGTCTTTCGCCAAGAAAAGTAACTAGAAGCAATGTAGAGTCACTATGATAAGTAGCAACTTTGTAGCACCCTTATGATTCCATTTGTCAAAACTTTGCAAGAGCAGTGTTTGACAACTGCAACGTTTTTTTTTTTTTTTTTTTTTTTTTTTTTTTTTTTTTTTTTTTCGGGATAAGTGATTTTTACGAGCAAGCTAACTCCGCCATCCTTTCGTATATTCCTCATGAGGAACAACAATTCAAATATTAAAGTGCAAAAACGGTTCCTCTGTTTTAAAAGCGTTATTTACGGCTAACAAGTAGGAGACGATTTCAGCAACAGTGTCATTCATGGCCTTTTTCCTGGTAATATTTAGGACAGGACTGTATGACAACCTGGCCAATTCTGCAAATCAATGAAAAATTCCTGACAATTGTTGTTAGGCAAAACGTTTCTACTGATCTGGGTGTTTCCTTGGAAATTTTAAAACCATCTGGTGCTACACACACCGAAAGGAAAAAAAAAAATTCTTCAATGTTTTCATTGATGTCATTTTTCACACCTCCATTTCATTTAAGGCGGATAACGGCCAGCGTTGCAAGAAATAAAAAACCTCTTTAAAAGCAAGAGAATCAGTTTTAAAGTCCAGTTTTTCACAAACCATATTTTATTTTCAGCAAAAATGTTGAACTGATGTTTATTACTTGGTCGGTTGATAATATTGGGAAAGTTTTCACCAAGTAGAAAAATGAAACTTGATGACGGCCTTCTTAAAAAATGGAGCAGTCGCCAGAAATCCCTCATGAAAGTCTTGTCAAAAGAAACTTCCTCTGCTCCGTTGCTTCCTCTTCCACTTCCAGGTAACAGAACTTAGAATTTTGAATAATAATTTTCGAGTTACAGAAAATTTCAGGGTTTTCTATGAGCCCCCTTTCCCCCCTCCTTTATATAATAACATCAATTTCAACAACAGCATCTAAAAATCTCTAATCAAAGAGCACGTTGGTAAAATTAGATTTCACAAAAATTAAAGTTTTCATTTCTTGGCATGAACAGTGTTAATCTAAAAAACCAACAAAAAGAATCACTATGGGAATTGAACGTGTACAAACCTCATCATCACAAGAAAAAAGTGGCGGGGCTAGTCTCAGAAATTCCGGTTTAAACTTTTGATCTACAATTGGTGTTTTCCCTGTCAGCAATGCTTCTGCTGTTTGTTGGATACTAGCATCATCTGAGAATGGACTGAAATCAATAAATTAAAATTAAATGTTTGGCCTCAAAGCAAATTGACAACAAATTTTAGAACATAGGTAATGCAATAAACTGATGCAGTAACCGACTGGTACAAAACAATAACTCCAGCAGAAATTGATGGAAGATCTCTGTCATGGGAGCTTCAAAATGCGTCCAATACAAGTAGATTTAAAATTTTAAAAATTTCCCAGGGGAGGCCCCCGGACCCCCTCTGTGCTGGGGGCCCGGGCCTTACAACTGGTACCAGGGCCCGAGATAGGATGTGGCGGGCCTGATGACAGGAAGTCTGAGACATCGCAAATCGAGTTATGCGATTGCTGACTTACACTGTCGATAAGTTCCTGGAAATGGAGCTCAAGAAAATGTATAGTTTCCTTGACTTGACTTAAAAAGTGATGATTTTCCTTTGATTCAATAACAGTATTCATAGACTGACTGATATTTCTGCTAACTAACATTATTTTTCAGAGGGGGTTTCACAGAGGCACGTACTCTTCCAAGGCTTCTTAACTATTGAAAACCCTGCCGCTTATGAAGCGAAGAAAGTTGATACATTCACAGTTCCGCACTATTTAGAGTCAGTTGTGGATTCCTAGTTCTGGCTCTTGTTTAAGAAAATTTGGGTGAAAATGGAAAAACCAGAAGCTTCTTGTCTTTAGATTAGTCTATGATTTTCCAGCTCAATAACGTTAGCTGAATTGCTGTACTAAACTTTAACTTAGCATCTGTGCGCCGAGTGAGAAGTGGGTTAAGAATGCTGAGAGTGGGAGTAATTGGACGTATTTTTGCGAAACGGAACTATGTGCATTATGATGTGAGCCCTGTTATACATATATTATTATAGGTCTCAGGGCTCATGTCTCAATGCACATAGTTCTGTTTGACAGAAATATGTCCAATTTATGTATTTCAGGAATGACACAACATGAGCAAAAAGAATAAGCGCAATGCTCACAAAAATTTTTCAGTTTTCCATTTTTGCAGCATTCCTATGCAACCCAACTTTTTCAGTCCGTGGTGAGTGGCGTGCCTCTCTCGCGACACGACAACGATCTCTTCAACTGACTCAGCAACTGGGAAAAGTAAAATACTCACAAGGTCCAGTTCATTCTTGGTTCACTGTCTGACAAAACGGCAGTTGTGGCATATCGAGCTGTGACTGCTGTCTCTGTTCTTCTTTCAGCTAATGCCAGCTGTACATCTGAAAGATCTGCGACTGGAGGATTCAAGTTCTTGTTGGCTTTGATATGAGTTGCAGTTTTCTTTAAAAGCTGATAAAGGCATAAAAATAATTGACTTAGTAAACGATAAAAAAAAAAAAAAAATAATTATTACTACACATTTATCTGCCAGTGCATGGAGGACACTTATATGTTTACGGCAAATATTACTGAAAACTTTAATTAAATATTACTGGGACTTAAAGTTGGAGATATGTACTGGCGATCATTTTTAGACGAGAGAAAATAAGAACCTTCTATCCTTTTCTTATGCAGATACTTTTGATTTGATTAGTGATTTGATCAAATCGGTAATTCGAAGACGTTCCAGCCAGGAAAATCCAAAACGGTACCAGAAATATAGAAAACTGTACCTACTCACGCTTTTAAATCATGATTAAAACCATCGACTGATGTTGAACCTCTTTGTATTTTATCCATTGAAAACATCGGTGAAGGTTATAACTAGGAACATCATTATTATCAAGTCCAAAAATGTTGCCGTGGAATTTTTTCTTTTTGTAAATCCTATAGGCGCATAATTAGACAAAAGAAATAGTTGAGTCAAAATGCATATCATTCTTTGACGGTGATTTTTGATCAACACTCACTCATAGCAGAGCATATTAAAATTCAAAATTACTATAGTCCCTACCACTTTTTGTGATGCAGACTATGAGTTATTACTTAAAACGAGAAACAAGATAAAATAAATCAAACAAGTTTCACCAACCTCATGAGATCCATTTTTTATTAACTGTGAGAGAAAGCTTTTTTCCGCTGGAGACAACTTGGGTAGCTGACCAGCATACTCTAAGGGTCTAGCTGAATTTTTATTGGCCAAGTCTGGAGGGTTCTAAAGGGACAAAGCAGATACCTCTTATTAATGCACTAATCTTTCAAAATGACAGATAAATAGAGCAAATTTTTAAAAGTAGTTTAGTTTTTTTTTTTTTCTTAATAAAGTTTGAAGAAGATTTGTTTGGTTACGTATTTACTGAATTTTATTTTTCTTTTTCTTTATTACTTTTTTATTGGTTTTTGTTATTGTTTTCGTGTTTCTGTTGTGATTAGATATTAGATTAAATAGCTATAAATTTTCAAAGGTGCAGGTTCATAGTTGTGGCTTCAAAAGCCAAAATCTTCAAAATCGACATCACTGACATCTTTAAAGAGATACATATAACCGTGCAGAGAAAGGCAAAAACATTACACTCAAGCTGATAGTTTCAAGAGATCTGAGCTTTCAAATCCTATAATTTAATGGTCCATTGTTTCTAATAACTATGAATAATGCAAATCATAAATTTCACAAATGTACCTTAAAATCCCTATTTTCGATGTGAAACTCTTGTGCGAAGCTTCAAAATTGTTCAGCTACTTAGGTTTCCGAAGTCAAACATGATTATAAAATTTCTATCTCAATGCCACCCACAAGAATAAAAATGAATATCATATACTGACCAATAGATGAATGAAAACTGGTACAAATGGATGCTGAGTCAATGGGTCAGATCGATACAGTTCATACAACAGAACAATGGCAACTAAACACTGCTGTGGCTTCGGAAGTAAGTCATTCTGTTGAAGGAGCATCACCAGGGCTGCACCGACTGAAATTAGGAGTCAATGCAATGATTAATCAACTGCCAACATACCCGACTACATTATGTACTCTGTTGCGATAATATGAAACTAAGTAGGAATCAATATTATTTTCCTGATATTTTTTTGTGGTTTTGAAAGCTTAAATTCATTTTCAGGATATCTCATCAAATTCTGAGAAGGTCACTTTTCCTAGATGACACCAATTGGCACCCACTGACATTCATCATATTGACTAGTTGATAAATCTGAAAGTCTTTCAATTACAGTTAATTGCTTCCTTCCCATGCAATCACTTGGTTACTGATGAGATGGCTGAGTGAGTGCTGAGGGGTAAACTGCCATGCTAGGGAAAACGCCTTAAGTATGAATATTCAAGAGTCGCCAAATTTCCCCCCAAAAAGACGTGTATCTTTGAAGAATTTTAAGCATATTTTTCCTTGAAATTATCAGGTAGTTCAGATAAAATTCCAAATAAAACTGTCTGAAAACTTCGAAAAAAATATTCACAATTTGCCCGGTAAATTCGTTTTTTATAGAAGGAAATACAGCAATGTTTGACGGCTCAAATGGAGTTCTTCTTTGGCACAGCAATACAGTATCCACTGGAATCTTTCTGAATGCTAAGTTATCGTAGGCATGATTAGCGACAGATAAGATTCTTTCCCTTCCTGTTCTTCAACAGCCCATGGACCACTCAACGCGGTGAGAATTGAAGCATCCACATGTAAGAAACCCATGGCATATCTGTCTGTCACCCAAGGTTTTGTATCTCCTCTGGCAGACGGCTGAAATTTAATTTAAGTTAATTTGAAACTCACCCTTAAAACTATCCTGTTTCGTGAAACATTGATGAAACTGGGAAATCAGGGCTTCAATGCTCTGCTTCTCACAGCTGTCTTCACTCAAAATCCTGGAAAAATAGAGAGATAATTGAGACGAAATCAGGTAGCAAGGAATTTCATTGCGGATGTTGCTTGTTGGTATGTAGGGTCGAAAAATGCATGTCCTCAATTGCGACGATGCTGATCTACAAGTTAGTAAACAACTTCCGAGAAACTTAACTGACAGGAGCTCCGCAAGTACTTAAAAAATTCAAACCTTGAGCACAGGGCTCAGAGAGAGAAACTGCTTTTTTTGAAAAGCAAGCACGGCAGAGAGGAATACTTTTATCAGGGAAACGGCTCACAGACTTACCCCAGGAGTAACGTCAGCTGCTTCGGAGTTAAAGCCATTCTGCGAGTGAGAGAATTGTTTGATTGGTTATAAATTGTATCATTTATTAAAAATAGATGTAACTGGTAGAAAAAAATTTCATTCCACTGCACTGAAAAAATGTGTTTTCTGATGAGCCTGTACTTATTAAATTAGCAAGAAAGCACTAATCATTGACTTTTCAAAATCTGTTTACTCAGAAATTAGAAATGAAGAGGTTTCGAGGTTAGTTTGGGGTTGCGGTTGATGATTGTCCTTTGCTCGTTACTGGCGATTGTTGCAGCTGTTGTGTTTACCGTAAAAAGCCTAACCTCCAACCTGTTATCATCAACCTTATCAACATGCTTTCAAGTTTTTATCAAAAATGTACCAAGAGTAGATTTTCTATAACTCATTATCGTTGTGTTTCACATTAAATGTTTTATTAGTGTTCCCACGCCACCTCCTGTAGATTCAATCTCAGCCTGATAGCTAGTATTTGGACTGAGTGAACTCTAGAATGAAAGGATTGGTCGTGCCAAAAAATTGCCCTTATTATAGAAGTAATTTTCTTAGTTCGCCCTTTATTATACCCGGTGTTACACTGAATCGTTATTTGATAATGCATTCACAACTTTGACTTTTAAGATTGGAGAAGATTTCAACTAGCAAGAAAGTAAAATGTCACGGCTGAAGAATGTTCTGATGAAAATAAGGAACAATTGGAAAAAATCAGTCTTTGGTTCGGTAGCGCTCGTTTATGGTGTCAATCTAGGAAATGAAAAATATCTGTAAGTACAGTGATGCAAAAAATCCTTATGTTAAAATATCCAACAATGTCATCTCTCTGCTGTCAACTCTGAAATTTAGTTTGAGCACTGCTCTACAACTTTTCAAAGCTGCCTGTTGTGCTTCTCAAAAGTTTCTACACAAGCATTAAGTTGTTGACAGAAGCTAATGTATTGCTGGATTTAATAGTCCTGCTGAAGAGGAAAATGACTAGTGACAATCATCTTGTCAAAAATTAAAGCAGCACCAAACTCAATGTAAATAAAGGAACTTCATTCTCCTGATGGTGTTATAATGCTAGATCTTTCTTACTTAGCTCCCATTTTCATACTTTTAATTTAAATTATGATCCTTTCTCTTGTGTATGTCACCAGCGTGAACTCAGGTGTAAATAATCCATTAGGTAGGTATCATACTAATCTAAAGGTGAAAAGGAAAAATCTCTAGCTGGGATCTTCTGAACCTAAAGTAACTTGTTTAATCCTATGCTTCCAGTTTCATGACAGTCTCTGACAAATTTGGTCTCCCAGCAACTTGCCGGCTTACTTCAAAATTTTAGCCATTAGACCCACAACTATGTCAATCTAGCAGTCATAGTAGGATTGCATGTAGCCGAAGGGAACCAGCACGATTACATTGTTGTCAATATTATGCTCCTTCTCCTTTAATTAAAAATGATATTCAGATTAGCAAATATTTTTCTTTTTTCCACCAAGAAATTTTTAATTTTTTAGATAGCCATTGTGTGAATTATATTATTGAACATACGTTTAGCAATTTTTTGGCAAAGAAGTTTCATGAGTTTGAAAACATTGTAATCAAGTTGGTCCCCTTCTGCTAAATGTGATCAAATTGAGGAAAGAAGAAACACTACTGGACAATGTGTGAGAAGGATCAGAATTCTGAAAATAGCTTGCAAATTATCTTACCTCCACCATATCGAATTATTCCATTTTTTTACTGTCATTTTTATTTTATCCATTCCAGCAAAAGTTGCATGCTTAGAGAGTACTGTGAAACTGCGGCCCAGTTCGGAGAAGCTCCAATTGGAGCTGTACAAAAGCCAAGACACATAACTGTGATATTGAACCCTGCTGCAAATAGAAGGTTAGTAGATAGAAATTGATTGCCATGCTATTTCAAGGTAGATGAGAGTACTTCCTTCTCTCCAATTAAAGGGGTAATTCATTCATTCTGAATTGGTATTCAGATCAAAAACTACTTTACGTATTACAATCTACGCTTAGTGTCCTGTAAGACGCAACAAATAGAATGTTGGGGAAATGTTTAAACCGGAGTGTCAAAGTTGTTGTAACCGCCTTATTCCCCCAAGGCCGAAAGTCAGAAGATAGAGTGCACCAAGTAGCAAACATTTCGAAAATTATGCCCCTTAGATAAGTCGCTGTTTCTTTTTTTCCCATTAAGAACATTTAAGTGAAGAAAATTCAAAAATCTGACCTCGAGCCTTGCCCTGGAAGTCTTAAAGATCATTGCTAAAATTACATTAGTGTTGGCAATTTCTGAAAGTGGTTTTATTGAATTCCCTGTTTTTCACCCTCAAATTTCGCAGTTCTGCCAGAAGATCAATTTTTAGATATTATTTACTCCAAATTGTGCAGAAGCCCCTTGGAACTTTGATATAATTAGGGTTTTTTTTCTGTCAGTAAGGCATATTTTGCCCTGGCAGGTCACGTACCATACATAATCACTCAGAATACACTTATTATGTTTTTAATTAATCAAACATTAAGTACTGTTTCTAAATATGCACCATCTACAATTAATCATCTTCATATTCTAGACAGGCGAAACTTCAATATGAATTGTACTGTGCTCCAATTTTAAATCTATCCGGCGCTTCAGTAGATGTTCTGCAAACCACAGGAGAAGGAGGTGGGAGAACTCTGGTAGAGAAATTATCCACTGAAACTGATGCTATTATTGTTGCCGGTGGGGATGGCACAGTCTCAGAGGTATGCATGCAGTCACATGATTTTTATACTTCAATTTTTAAATTTACCTATGTGTTTTGCGTATCTCTCTTTTTCTCGTTATAAAAATTCAAATCGGCGGTAAAACTCTCAACCCATGTATCTAGTTTGCAGTGTGCACAAATTCCTGATCCCGTTTTATTATTTTTAAAGGAGAACAAATCAACGTTATTCCTTAAGGTTTTCTTAGAATTTGTCTTGCGCAGTGAAGAAAATTCACGGAAGTTTTTAAAAATCGGCATTGAGTAGGTGTCCATTTAAAAAATAAAGTATGACAGGTAGTCTGCAGTGTTACAAACCAAAATACGTGATTTGGAAGTTTCACCGTTGATATCTCCTCAAAATACAGAAACAATTGAAAAAAAAATCGATTTTCCATCCATTAAAATTGTGCCTTGTGTCAAGTTGAGTTTGATTTCATGAACTAAGAAAATTACTAATAAATAAATTTAATTAAGTTAATAAGGCCTTGTAAGGCCAAGCAAAGGTTGTAAAGACCTGAACTAAAAAATAAGTACTGTAAATACGTCATTTTTCCTACAAATGAGAATTTCATCTGTGTTGATTGTTCAAAAAAATTTTGTTTCTGTTGATTTCGTTGTTTTTTTCCCTTTTTTCTCCCGTTTTCCCCTTTTTTTAAGCAAGCAAAAAATTTGAATTCACCAAGTTAAATACTACAGTTATATATTTACAGAGGCATATACATAGTATTTTGCATGAAATTTTGATGAGGAAATGTGTCCTCCAATGCTTTGATTCTTAGGTACCCTGTTTTTAAGTCCATCGAAAGGCAAGATTTGAGTTACACCATCACTTAAGTAATTTTTTTTCTTTCCTTTAGGTCATTACAGGTCTTCTGCGGAGATTTGAAGGAAACATTCATAAGGCTCTCCAGATTCCAATTGGCATCCTGCCTCTGGGCAGAACCAACAGTGTCATCAAGTCCTTAGTCAAAATTGATGAAAATGAGCTGAAAGAAAAAGTTCTCACCGATGCTGCAATGAATGTGGTTAATGAGAAAACTAAACGCTTGGATGTGATAAGTGTTCAACTCACAGAGGTACTTTTACTGAAACCCCTGATGTTTTACAAATGAAGGATATCATGAATAAAGAAGTTTTTCAAAGATCTATTAAGATATTAAGAAAATTCATTCAAAGTTAAAAACTCACACAGAGCTTTTGACATGTATGAGCTTTAAACTCAATTATTAACACAAAGAACTGAGCTTTATCATTTTTCAATAGTCAGAGAAAAGTGAGGAACAATCAAATTACAGCAGTTATTTTTGTACACATTCTAAAACATTATTTCAGTAACTCAATATATCTTTCCTTCTTTGTCCTGGTTTATAGAGATTGAATAATTTGAATTGTAAATTAAAAATGTATAACTGTACTCTTAATAATATTTTTCTAGTTTGCTTCTACTAACACTGTCAATGTTCCTCTTCCGTAGGATTTGCCAATCGGAAAACGACCAATATATGCTCTCAGTTCAGTGGAATGGGGCGCTTTGCGCAATGCGGATGCCGCACAGGACAAATATTGGTATTACGGAGTTTTCCGTAACTACATGTCATACTTGTTTCATGGGACTCCAAAATCAGAGGTCCAAACAGAGCTGTCATTCACACCCCCTTGCACCGGTTGCAACAACTGCTTCTCCATTCGAAAAGATCTGCACAAAGAGGAAGGACACTCTAAAAAGTGGTGGCATTACTTTTTGCCTGTCATGAGTCGTCAGTCAAGTAAGGCTGTCTGTTTTTTTTGTTTTTTTTTCAGCTTAACAGAAAGTGGCTTCACACTATGTTTGTCCCACAGGGTAACTCCTTTACCTGTTTTGCATTTGCTTATCTGTAGTGAAAGTTCAGCTAGGGTCAGGAAAGAAAACACGAAGGAAAAAATTTCGCTTTACCCATTTTTTATACCATTTTCATTCTATTTAATGAAATGAGATGTTATTTTACCCCCAAAGATCACTCCTACAATCTTGCAATGGGTTTGTGCATTGCTGCAATTTTTTAACTGAGATGGCTGTCAATCTGATTTTGGTTACATACACAAGATCATTTCGATCAAAAATAAGCTAAGTTTGGGGGTGAGTTTAAGACCTGATTTTTCATATTTGGATTGCTCTATTGGTGAACAAATCATTAGCGGAGGTAGCTGAAAAAAAAAACTGTGACGGTCAATTATTCTTAAAATTTTAATAAAATTTTGACTACCTTCTCAAGAGGCTTTTTTGAGCACCTCTGATCACAAAATGTATAGCTAGAATATATAGTTTGGAGACCAAATTTTAGTGAGGGTCAGAAGAAATTTTTCAAAAGTAAAAATGAAATGACAGGAAAAAGCAAAAAACAAAATTATCTATTTGAAAAGCAGATGTCAGACTTTTTGGAAAGTATTTGAAGGAGAAACCAGCGGATAATGAAGAACTTTAATGGATGCAGCTCTTTCTAGAACCTTTATAAATTATATTTCGATGGCTTAAGTTGAAGAGTCCGTATTTCCAATGTAATGTTTCAAAATCTCCGACTAAGTGTTATTTCTCTGATAGAAAACTAACCGATATTTCATTTTGAATTTTTCTGTGAATATCTATGTAAGGTATTCACTGAAAATTTTAAGGAAAAACAATCTTTGTTTTTTTAAAAGAATATATAGATAAAACATGCAATGTGCAACATTACAATCTGAGGAACGAATTTTTCTCCTTCAGCCATCGATGTGCAGTTATGTCTGGAGAGGGATCTATTTCATTGAGCCGTATCTAGCAGAAAGGAATCAAACCACATCAGTTATTGCCAAATTTAACGGGGCAATTTAATTTTTTCCAAGAGAATGTTTATGTGGATTCCTTTGAAAATTTTAAGAAAGTTGCCTTGTACTCAGAAAATTCACTAAAATTTGCATATAAATCTGCCCAACCTTTTTCATGTAAAAAATTAAATTTCCCAAATAAATTTGGCAATAGCTGATGTGGCTTGGTTCCTTTCTGCTGAACACGGTCCAATTTTGTATAGGAGTATTAATTTCAAACGACTTACAGGGAACATCACCCCCTTGTCAGCATGGGCTAATCAATGCACAAATATTTAATGGCACTGGATATCAGTTACTAAATAATTATTTTTATTCAAACAGGTGAAAAACAAGTTGACTATTCATCAATCATGAATCCAGATTGTAGTCAAGTAACCAACAAGAAAGTAGAAAGTATTAATTTAGCCATTACAACAACAAACATACAACCAGAATCATCGTCTGATATTCCTCATTTAAATGTTTATATAGGTGAGTTATTTACATTTTCCATTAATTAAAAAGGATTTTACTTGATATTCCCAACCTTTATTAGTGAAGAGAACTGAAACTACTCACACAAGATGCAAGTTCATACACTTGCTATGAACCTAAAGAATTACTTTAATTTTTAATTTTCGAACTGCAAGTAAATTTGTTTTGTTTGAGTTAAGGTGATTTGATGGACGCCATATTTTGTGTCAAAAGGACATGCAATATATCGCATCGATTGGTTCCATATTTTCAGCTACTCATCATTTTTCTTGAATTTTGAGATTGCAATTCTGTTGCCAGGAGTCTAAAGAATTCACTTACCCATTTTGATAAACAAATTCATTGTAATATAAGCGTGGTTTTTTTAGAGAGAAAATATCGCATTCGAGTGCAGTTTCGATATCAGTATCGGATGCGATATTTTCTCTCTAAACAAACCACGCCCATATTATGTTGAACTCGTTTGTCAAAGTTGGTGAGTGAATTCTTTAGTCTCCTGACGACAGAATTACAATCTCAAAATTCGAAAAAAGTGACAAGTAGCTGAAAAAATGGAACTAATCGATGCTATATATCGCATGTCGTTCTGACACAAAATATAGCGCCCATCGAATCCCGTTAACACATATCGCATCTGTTGCTGATTTGAGTGAGGTCCAAAATTATTATCTTGTTATCATTTTATGTTTAATCCAACCTGCTAGTGCTACTGACGATGACCTGTAAAGGTTGAAATGCATTTAGCAAAATAAAGTTAGTTTTTCATGCATCTGATTGTGTTATTTTAAACCTCACTTATATAAATTGGTTTTACTGGAAAAAAATTTCTCAAAATTTAGCTGTTTCTGGATTCACCATTATCAATATCAGGTATGCTTGAAAAGGAAGAAAAAGAAGAAAGAAAATCAAGTTTTCTTCATGTATACAGCAGAAAAAGTTTGCCAAGGAAATCAAGATATTTTCAAACTACAAGTGTTTCTATTGTCAGTTAGACAATGTTTATTCGGTTAGTTATTCAAGAAATTGTATAGTTTTGGTTTACTAATTTTTCTTCTCATAATCATAATCTGTGCAATCCATTGGCTGAGATTTCTTGTTGCAGCTGAACCAGAGATGTCGTACATAGATTTTGTCAAGAAGGGTTTCAAGAGAATTGAAGATCGTGTTTTTGAGGCTCCAGAGTCGTTTGAAGCGCATATTTTGGAGCTACACCCAGTGTTAAAAACAGATGTGAGTCCTTCCTTTATTTACTGTTTAAAGCTGATTTACCTACTATTGTAACCGTCTATCTTTAAGAAATGTATCTTTACAGCTGCATGGCTAATATTTTCCCCCATAATCTTTCGCCTCTTAATGCTTTTGTGTCCTCCACTCCTGTTATAAAAGAAAATGTTCCTGAAAGATTTTCTTTTTAGTTTTACAATCACTCTAATTTTTTGCCCATTAATTTTATAAATGTAACTTGATAGCTCTGGCAAGTATGAGTTTTCAAGTATGAGTTTTCAAGTATTAGCGCTAAATTAATAATGGCCAAATGCCTTCTATTTCGTCTATAATTTTTTTTAAATATTTTAGCAGCAACTAATACTCAAAAAAATTGATAAATGTGGAAAGACCAAGGGCTTACCTGCCAAAATGTCTGAAATTCTTAAGTGTTTTTCCATTAATTTTCTCTGTCCTCGTTTGTTTCAGGAAGAAATGTATTTCTCCATAGACAATGAACCGTATGAAGTTCGACCAGTGAAAATAACTCTGCTACCAAAAAGTATAAATGTTTTTTGTTCTTGAAACTTAATTTTACTTAACTTGCAAATAAATGTTTTAAGTTTTTTATATTTCCTTTGAGTTCCATTTTACTTTCCTTCTTTTGTTACCTCAATAACCCTTCTAACATTTAAATAATTGTGAAGGAAGAAAAAAACATATCAAGTTCTCTCCCTCAGCTATTTTTCTAATTTTTTATTTCGTATTCTTATTTTATTTTTCAAGACTTATTCCATGACCGCTGCACAAAGCATGGTTGCCTAAGTTTCATCCCAGTATTTCCACTTTTTCTCTGTCAAGATTCTCTGTTTTAAGAAAATCGAATTTTTAATTGGTCATTATTTCCTCATAACCAAAATAATATTATCACTTGCATGGTTTTTTATTATTACCAAAACCCTGAGACCGCAAAATCTCATGTTGATTGACAAGACAGAAAAAAAAGAAAAGGAAAAAAAAGCTTGAAATAATGTTGGCAGTTGTATAAATACATTTTGTATGACATCTCTTGAAATTAAAATACTTATCAATCATCCTGGCTGATTGCAAGTTTCTCTGCAGCCTAACCACAGCAGTGGCGATAGATTAATGATATTTTCCTATTTGAAGATGTGGTTAAGAATCCATTATTAAGATGTTCGTTCCGAACATCCTGGAAATTGGAATTAGAAGTGGGAATGGCAGATTATTTGAGGGCCTTGGAGGACAATAAGGCGCATAAGTGCAGTTTTTGAAAAAAATTATGTGTTAATTATTTCAAGTAAAACTAGTCTTAATGCACATTCTGTGAAAAATTGGTTCCCAAATTCCAATTTTTAAGCATTAAAAGTCAGTTTGAACTTAATAAAGATTCGCGTAATTTTGGAACTTCAAACGAATATTTCTTGAAACAGCACAAACTGCACTTATGCGTCTTGTCCTCCAAGCTCCTCATTTGATGTATCGCTAAGCACTCCACGCCATCCCAATATTGAGGCAATTCAACTCCTAGATAACACTAATGAATACAGACGCCTCAAAAGGGTAAAACCGTGGGAATTAGCCTGGCCTGGTCTGACCCTTTGATTTCATTGCTTCATATTGTCTCACGTAAATAAGTTACGAACTACTCGGTTGTTTGTAGGTACACTCATTTTTATTTTATATTTATCAACAAAGTGTATAAGGAAACTTACTAAAAAAAATGATAATAAAAAACAAAAAGATTGGCTTTCATGGATCCTGGAAATGAAGACTCCTAAATGAGTGGCTTTAAATAAGTTTTGTTCAGGTGCTTTAAATAAGTTTTGTTCATGCTCACCAATGAAATAATTTTTTTCTGAAATATATATCACTTCCCCTTTTCATTAACTAAAAAATGGAAAAAATTTCTTGGGAGATGACAAAATTGAATACAAAAACTCAAACCCGTTATGATACGTAGGTATGCACCTATTGCTTTGTTAGTGGCCTGGCGTGCAAAATCGCTAGATTCGTTGATTGCGGGTAGACGGTGCACAACTGCACACCTCAAATCACGGTGTCCACTCCAGCAAGCACAAATTTGGCAATTTACATATATTTATTTTATTTATTTACATTAGTGTATACCTACATAAATGACACGAACATAGTGTCCAAGCATACTTGTCAGTGAATACCCCCCAAAATTTACTTTTTGAACATCATTGTAAAAATCACTTGGAGAATAAAATGCCTTACAAACCAATAAAGTTTTTAACCCCTTTGAAAAAAGAGTTAACTTTCCAGTCTTTCAATAGTTTTCTTAATTTCAGTGGAAGATTATTAAAGAGCCTAATAGCAGAATGTGACATTGACTGTTTAGCGACCTTCAAACAAACAATTTCAAGGAGGGGTTTCTAGTGTTTTTTATCATGTCATTAGTGATCAATCCGTTGTCAATGGCAAACTTTAGAATATTATGTAGGTATAAAGATTGATGGAAGTGTTAAGAGTTGGTGCTTACACATTTACACATCAAAACGTACATGCCGACGGTAAAACTACCAGACCACATATGGACTACATTTTGCAATTTGGAACTATAAATTCTAGCCCGGTTTAAAAACGACGTATGTGCCATTAGTTTCCCTATGCTCATAAGTTTTTTTTTCCAGAAGAGCCAGAATTTATAGTTCCAAATTGCAAAATGCAATCCATATGTCGTTCGCAGCGTATGAAAGTCTGCGCTCCCAATGAATTTTTTTGAAGGAAAGTAAATCAATATCACTTCTTATAATTTTCACAGTTTTCTTCGCAGGGAGAAGAGAGAACACGGAAGTTTCAAGAATTGACGTTGAGTAGTTTTCCATTTAAAAAATAAAGTATTACATGAAGTCTGCAACGTCGCCAACCTTGATACGTGTTATGGTAGTTTCACAGTCGATATGAGCAATGGTGCAGTGCTTGAGGTATCTCTGCGATGTTGAAGGCGCTATTTATGCTGCGCTGCGGTGCGCATTCTATTGTCCGCGTTCCAGGCGACTTTTTTCCAGTGGCGTGGCGTGCTTTGCGATTCATCGACTTATCCGCCAAATCTATGGAAAAGGATCGATTAACAGGATGTTCGCAACGAACACCTTAATAATCGATTCTTTAACCTATCTTCAAATGATGGAAATGTCGCTATTCGATCATTCACACCTCGCCACTGTTTCCAGTGTTATTAGATAGGAAGAATAAACTAGGAACAAGGCTTTAGGAGCTCATACAGTTACATACTCTAAGCGTGACCAATTTGCAAGGCATTCAAAAATATTTGTGAATGCTGATTATCAACCTGAGACAAAAGCTTCAGCTTAACTTGGAAAAATATCAATGATGACATTTAGTTTTTAATGAACAAATTATACTTATATTTGGACAGCATTTTGCAATTTGGAACTATAAATTCTGGCTCCTATGGAAAAACACTCGTGTGCACAGGGAAACTAATGGCACATACGTTGTTTTTAAACCGGGCTAGACTTTATAGTTCCAAATTACAAAATGTAGGTACTTAGTCCATTTCAGAACAGAAAAATTAACACAGTTAGAAAATGAGACAAATATTCTTGGAGAGTTATGAAACAATTAAAACTAAAGTGAAAAAAAGTTACTTATAGCTCAAATCAGGAAAAAAACACCAGAACATTTGAAAAAACAGTATAATAAGGAATGCGGAGTGCTTAATTAATTAAATGAAAATGTGTAGGTCAAAGTGAGTCCATGGTTTCATCCGTGTTTTATGTCTATCAATCAGTGCACATAAAAGTAAAACATATTGATAAAAGCAAGGTGGAAGGAACCACGGTATTCACAACCACGGTGGATGACGTCATACACTTCGTTTTTGAAGGGCGATATTTCCGCTGATATTGATCTAGAATCTTGGCGTTTAGACAGATCCTATTATTTTATAGTGATTTAAAAGCCATTTTAACAGGCAACCATGGTTCCTAACCTAACCTAACCTAGCCTAACCCAACTCGAGGATAATTATCAGTAATAGAGAAGGAGAGGTAGAATAATATATTTAATCATTAGCAATAGAGAAGGAGAGGTAGAATAATATATGCATTGCATTTTGCAAAAAGGAACCACTAGCATTGCAATGATGCTAAGATTGTGCAACTGCATCTTTTGCAGTAAAATTGCGGAAATCGTGAAAAATGAAATTTAGATGGTAATTTTTGTCTTAAATTTACAGTTTTTAGCGAGTAAAATAGAAACTATTAATGGATAATCGGGTTTTTCCTCCAAGACAAAAGAAGTTGCACAATCTTAGCAATATTGCGCAATGCTAGTGGTTCCTTTTCGCAAAATGCAATCCATATGATCCTCTGACTAGCGCAACTGGCCCGTTGTCCATGATAGCCACGGTGAAAAACATTTCTTTTGTCCAAGACCTTTCAATCAGTCGAGAAACACACAGGAAAGTGGAGGAACCTCTTCGACGAAATCGATGAAGTCGTGATGCAGCAATCCCTGCAATATCTCGTCCCGCGGAGTCACCGACACGGTTCGCTCGCCGTAATCAAAATTGTATTCCAGTTGCTGCGGATCGTGCAACTTCTTGCGAGTCGAGAGGGATACCTTGGACACCTGCTGCTCGTATTTCTTCTCCTCGATCGTGCCTTTCATGATGAATCTGTAGATATGACACGGTTTCGTCTGTCCGAATCTACAGATTCGGGAGGCGCACTGTGAGTCGACCGACGGGTTCCAATGCGCGTCGAAGATGATCATCCTGTTCGCAGCCGTCAGGTTCAATCCCAAACTGACCTCTCCTGTCGTCAGGAAGAAAAGTCTGGCTTTTCTATTTTCCGAGTTGAAAATGCGACAGCACCGACGACGATCCTCCAGGGAGGACCTTCCGTCCAGACGGAAATAGTCGTCCCCTGGAGTCCAACCCGAGCGTTTGAGGAAACACTCGAGCAAGTCTAGAGTCTGCAGAAACTGCGAGAAGACCACGAGCTTATCCCCGCTCTCGGAGCACTTCTTCAGAATCTCGAGGAACAGTTTAACCTTTGGGCTGGGCCCGATGCTGCTCAGACCTAGCCCTGTCACCCTCAGGGCTTGAATCTCACCGGACGGGCCTTCGAAAGCGATCTTGGGGTGGTTGCATATCTGGCTCAACATGATCGCTTTCTCCAACAATTCCCCTCTGTTTAGATGACGATCGTCGACGCTATCGGCCCACCACCGATAGGTCTGGATCTGCGTTTGCGACATCCTGATTTTGATCGCGTGCTCGTGCCTTTCCGGGAGGATCCGCTCGAAGAACTTCGAGTCTGGGAAAAGCACGACTCCCTCGAGCTTTTCTCGCAGGACGTGGAGCCTGTTTCTCATGAATTCCGTGTCCTTCTTAGTCGAGTCCCACAACTGCCCGTTCATGATGGGGTTCAAAAATCGGTTGTTGAACTCGACTTTATCCCCCAGGAAATGGGGCTTGACTAAATTTATCAAATTATACACCTCCGATAGGAGGTTTTTCAAAAGGGCTCCCGTTGTCAATATCCGCCGGGACGTCCTCAACATCTCGACTGCCTTGGTAGTTCCTCTTTTGTTGTTTTTCAGGACGTGGCACTCGTCGAAGATGACCACGTCTGGACCTGGGTTCACCAGGTGCTTGCGGATTTTATAATAGGCTTCTTCGTGCCACTGGGAGGTTTTGGGGAGGACGAGCGACCGGAACTCTTGGTATCCCAGGATCATCACCCCGCCCTGCTCCTGCCACCTCCGCAAGTGCCGCTCCCTCGTTTCGACGTCCTCGTAGGAGGTCAAATCAAAAACGTCGATTTTTTCTGTAACGCTCGTCTGCCACCTCGCGAACTTGTCGCCCCACTTCAGCTTCACCGACTTCGGGCACACGATCAGGATCTTGTTCAGGTTCAAGGTGGGGTGCTTGATGACGGTATGGGCCAGAGCGACGATCTGGAGAGACTTTCCGAGCCCCATACTATGGGCGACGATGCAACCCGAACCAGGCGTGGACTTGACCTGCTCGACGGACTCGAAGCAGGCGTTCCACATGAACCTCACGCCGTCCTTCTGGTGTTCGCTCATGCTCCGGACGAGAGCCGGGTCGACTTGGACCCTGATTTCCTTCGTCACCTTGTCGACGTCCAACACTTGGGTTGTTCGTTCTCGGTGCAACTCTGCGAGTGCCTCCTGTCGCTCGGCGAGTCGCGTTCTTCGCTCCTCCTCATCGCGTTCTGCGCGTCTGGACTCGATGGCCATCTCTTCGGGGGACATGATCTTCCGAATGTTCCGCCGACCTGTTGGTTTCTTGCTCTCGACTTCTTCTTCCGACTCCTCCGAGATTTCGACGAGGGACGGATCGATCGTCGGGAATCTGAATTCGAGCGAGGGTGAGGGTTCGCGTTTCGTAGGCACCTCGTGACAAGTTTTCGGTAGTGCGGTTCCCCTAGTTCGATCAAGTCTCCTTTTTTTGTATTTTTTAATTTTATTTTTTAATTTCGTCTTCTCGGGTTCCGATTCCCAGGCCTCGCTGGGCACTGCTGTTTGCTCTCCGGATGACGTGCTGTCGTACTTCCGTTTTTCGACTGGATTCGAGACTGACTCTTCTTCTGACTCTACTTCCGACTCTGAAGAGTCTGAATTCGAGGACTCCTCCACTCCTGAATTTGGGGCGTCTCCAAGATCTTCGACATCTCCGATTTCTTGAGTGGAAGATTTGAAGCCCTCATCCTCGGTGCTGTACCGCACACGCACCATGCGCATGGCAGAAAGTGGGCTGGGTTTGACATTCGAGTCCGAAATCTGAGATACTGGCTGTTCATTTCCGAGTTTTAGGTATATTCCTGCGTTCTTTTTCATCAAAGCGGTCCGGCATTTTATCTGGTTTTCCATGTCGTTGAGGAGAGTCACAACTTCTTCGTGATTTTGAAGGGCCTCTTCTACTGAAGTCGGTTCCGTGGAGAGTTTGAACTCCAAATCACTGGACTTCATTAAGGCCAGTTCCATGTGTCGTAGAACCTCCCGTATGGCCTCGAGGCCCATAATTTGGAGGAGCTTCGGCACCCGAGATTTGTCCATCCGATTCTGAAATCAAAAATAAATGTAGGGTTTTACTACGGGAAAATCATTGATCAGGAGATACAATGCAATAATCGCGAGCAAAATATTTTAGTCATCCCGGACTACAGGCTTCCCACGGTGTAAAATTTATTTTTGGCGATGAACACTTATCTTTCACAGAGTGATGGTGGATGAAAGGAGTGCTGGCAACCAACCGGAAAATCAGTTCAGAGCAACTTTTTGACAGACTTGGTGAACGGCTTAAATTCACCCCTATTTCTTCTTTTTTTAAAAATAATATTGAGCTTCTACTTCATTAGAAACATTTTCATCAGGCCCGCCTCAAGGGTGGAGATACTGGGTCCATGGCACCGGGGCACGTGCCGCCCATGACACACTATTTCAAATTCACACGTAACCCTTGTCTCGTAAGGAAAAGAAAAAGATTTCGAAAAAGGTGAATACGTTTTCTAAAACACGCTGGGGCACTGTAGAATTTTTTCTACTGTTTTGCAGGTTTCTATCTATTTTTAAGATTTTTAGTAGAAAATGAAATTTTGCAACTGTGTGCTCTTAAGTTTAGGATATTACAAATTATTTTTCTGGTGGTAAGGGGATCGGGTAGAGGGGGGGGGAGGGGTTGGTGGCAGTCATGGGGCCCGGATCTTAAAATTGGCACTAGGGCTCGAGGTGGGATGTGGCAGCTGATTTTCATGATTTAAGTATCGGTGGAATTCCATGACCCTGTTCAAGACATTAGATGGAAGTACTTGTGGAATTAAGGGTCAAAACGATTAGTCTCTGTGTTAGATTGTAATTATTTATCTTCTCCCTCTCCCCCAGTTAAAAATGCTAAATCAGCAATGCTCTTATTTGGCGTCTTCCATGATTCAAACTTCCTACTCGCAAAAAAAAGCCTGGGCCTAAGTCTACTAGGATCAAACCGGACACTCAATTATTGGACGCATTTAAATCGAAAAGAACTACTTGTATTGTGACATGAGCCCTGACATGTATGTATTCTTATGTATCTCAGGGCTCATGTCAAAACGGATATAGTTCCCTCTGTTTTTAATATGTCCAATTCACTGTCCAGAAACTCCATCGTTTAACTTATTTCATCTTCCAATGTAAATCAGTCACTGAATGAATCATTATTAGGAATAAATTCATCTTTGTCAAATTTTGATGGCAACTCCATTTCGCAAATTTATAACGAAAAATTGGGCATTACCGCCCTCTTTGGTGATGCAGCATTGAGAATTAAAAACCAAGGATGAAATCGAAGGATGTTTCATGGAGGAAGGGGGGAGATTCCGCGATTAATGAATTATAAAATATCTCGGTAAAGACTTGAATACACCGAAATTTTTCTGTCGAATGTCCATTTACTAAAATATTTCAACTTCATAATGACATCATATACATATGCAACCCGAACCGGGCGTGGACTTGACCTGCTCGACGGACTCGAAGCAGGCGTTCCACATGAACCTCACGCCGTCCTTCTGGTGTTCGCTCATGCTCCGGACGAGAGCCGGGTCGACTTGGACCCTGATCTCCTTCGTCACCTTGTCGATGTCCAACACTTGGGTTGTTCGTTCTCGGTGCAACTCTGCGAGTGCCTCCTGTCGCTCGGCGAGTCGCGTTCTTCGCTCCTCCTCATCGCGTTCTGCGCGTAGAGACCTCCTAAATATTCGTATCTGGTAACGCTTAGTTCCGTTCCGGGCCGATTTTCACGATTTTTGCGGCTATCGACATGCAATTGTGTCTCTAGATGAGCTCGCTTCATTTAGATTTTAAAAATATGGCCCATGTTTTTTTATATTATGTGGTAAAGTTGCAAATTCTCCCATTTAAACATTGTAATTTTTAATTTTTTGTCATAGTTCGTTTGAGCATTCTACTGGGCCGATTTCCATGACTTTTGCGGTTATCGACGAGTGATAGTCCCTAGATGAGCCCGCTGTAATCAGAATTTGAAAATAGGTCCCAGGTTTTTTTATATTAGAGGAGACCAGAAAGCATAGAAAGGGGGGGGGGCAAAATTTTGAATCTTGGTCTGCTAGTAGGGTTAGTGAATCGAAGGTATGCTTCTTTGCTACACGCTATCCAATAGCGACGAAACGCTCCGTTCCGTTTCGTTTCGGTCTTGGCGTGAAATTTGAAACAAATGCCTATTTTTTCACTCGATTCTTATTGGTCCAATTTCTCCCGGCCACAGAAATATTGGATAAATATTGGGGTCGGTTATGAAAATCTTTTCATTTTTTTGGTCGTCCTTTTGTCGACGCGGGTCGAAGAGAACGCGAAGCAGGCTCGGACTGGCCTTTTGGTAATAAAGACAAACTTAAGCGGGGTGATTATTGAAATTGATAAACAAAGCTATAAACAAAGAAGACAACGGGAAAATGAGGCGTTTATAATGTATGAGTGGAAGCGGGTGGTTACAATGGACAAATGTAGTGAGTAATATACTGATTAATGGCAACTCAAGAGGGATCGTATAGTCAGTTCATCATTTCCTTCCCTGATCTACAACAATCACCCGTTTCAACCAATGGGATCGCTCAATTTTCCCTATGTCTTCTTTGTCTATCGCTTTGTCTATTGATTTCAATAATCAGCCCGCTGATCGGCAAAGTTACTCGTATATATTCTATATTACCAATGCAACTTCTCCAGGTAGCTTTGTTACTCGCATAGGTTCAAGCATGTCCACCTATGCGTGTAGCAGGATTAGTGTCATTATGTACATCTCTGGAGACTTAAACGCCGAGGGTAAGAAAGTAAGCGACAATTTCAAAATTGCAATGATTACTTCAGACTAAAATTAATGACTTTAAGCCGAAAAATGTGTGGCGATTTTTGGAAATTGTTAAGAGTTTACAGCTCATAGTGACGTTTCGTTAAAATATTTCATAGGGAATGAAAATTTTTTACTTTTTTACAGTCATTCAAAAGCTCAATTCCTTTCCGAGATTTTTGATGACGATTCTTTTTTAAGACGGATACCTACCAATTTTTGATAATTTAGAAGGTGCCAAGATAGCACTCTGAGCCACTTTCGTCATCTTTAAGTTTTAAAAATTTAAAACTTACTGAAAATTCAACCTCCAAGTGAAAAACATCCACTGCCACCAAGTCTCGCAAAAATGAATCAAACAGGATCCAAGATAGTATTTTAGGCCGCATCCACTATCCTGGATTTTCGAATTATGAAAATTTGAGTTGGACTTCAAGGTATCCGTCAAAAAATGCCACCTTGTACCGAGTTTCAAGAAACGTCCTGGAGTGTATTGACGGCGGCAATCGTGATCTTCTGCCATCAAGTCGAGGCGATACTCTTGAAGGCGCTCTGAGCAACTCTATCACCTCGGAAGTTGCACAGTATCAGACGAAATTGAAGGCGCACTAACGGAGGCAACTTGACTGGTAGCGTTTATCGTACGATATACGACTCCTGATCGATCAATTTTTTTTTTTGAAACTCAGTACCGCGTGGTATTTTTTGACGTATAACCTGAATTGCAACTCAAATTTTTATAATTCAAAAATGCAAGATAGCGGATTTGGTCTAAGATGCTATCTAGGCACCTGTTTGATTCATTTTTGCCAGACTTGGTGGCAGTGGATGTTTTTCACAAAAAGGTTGAATTTTCTTACAAAATTGTAAAATTCAAAAGTCGGAGATGGCGGATGTTTAAGAGAGTGTCATCTTGGTGCCTTCGAAATAATCCGACTTTGCAATAGAGATATCTATCCTTTTTATGTTCCGTTTCAAATCGATGTACTCTCAGCTAACTTAAACCTCCATATCGGTTCACTCTTCAACCGTTATGAAATGCATGTGTTTGTTTTGTTTGTTTTTTTTTAAATTAAATAAAAAATATAAATAAAATAATAAAATATAAAATAAAATATAAAATAAAATAAAAAATATTTTAGCGATATTTTTTTTTTCAGTGTGCCTGTTTTGAATGAGTGAAAGAACATGAAAACTTTAAAATCTGCCCTAATTTTTCCGAGATGTGACAAAATACATTATTTGAATGTGCTGCAGTCGACCTGATAATAACAGTGATTGGCACTTAGTACGTTACGGTGCCTTCCTTATTACCTCTTCGGGCCCATCTACGTCCAGGGTTAAAATATTTCGGGTCTGCTTTTGTTCGTTCGAGGATTTCTACCTATACGACTTCTTATTCTCCTGTTTAATTTAAGCATAAACTTTAGACATTAGACTGAAATGAAACATTCAAATTCAACAGTCATTGGTATTATCAGCTCGCTAGCAGCAAATTCAAATAATGCTTTTTGTCATAACTCGGAAAAATTACCTACGGCAGATTTTAAGTGTTCGCATTCTTCTACCCGTTCAAAATAGGCAGTGAAAAAGTTGCAACGTCGCAAATTGAGGTATGCATGTATTTCATCTCTCTGTCGATGATGAGAAAATGTGCAAATCCACACGTTCCGGGGTGTAATGTCGGCGGCAGTCGTGATCTTCTGCCATGAAGTCGAGGCGATACGCTTGAAGGCACTCTGAGCAACTATTCCACCTCGGAAGTATTGCACGGTATCGGACGAAATTGAAGGCGCACTAACGTAGGCAAATTGACTAGTAGCGTTTATCGTACGATCTGCGATTCCTGTTCGCTCGGTTTTTTTAAAACTCGGTGCCAGGTGGCATTTTTTGACGGAAAACCATATACAACATTGACTAGGAATGTTCCGATTATCGATTCACAGCGGATGGCACAGGAGCTGGGGCGCTTCGCGGGAACATAGAATAATAATAACTAGCTGACTATTTTCTGACTAGCTGAGCTATTTATTATTCTACGGCGGGAATATGTGAACAATACCTATATGAAGCGTGTGGCTCGCTTTCAGTTCCCGAGATCCCGACCCGTGTCCGGTGCCAGTGAATAGTCCCAAATACCTAGAGCTAATGTAAATAGCTTGTAAATCCAAACTTTTTCGACTGAAACGAGAATCAAACAGACTCATTCTAAAGAGCG